GGGAAGCCAGGATTTTCAGGGTAGGATGTAATAGCGCCGGCTGTTCGGAGGTGTGCTCATCATCGCCATTCATCTGTTCTTCGGTCTCTTCACCTTCGGTTTCCTGTTTCACACCATTCGCTTTAGGTGGTGCGGGTTGTAGTTCCGGGATGGTTTCGAGGTGGCCGACTTGTGCGTGTCCGAGATACATAATGGTTTCCATAAGGGTAGCCGCATACTTCCCAAGCCGTTCTTCAATGAACTCCAGGATCTTGCCAGAGCGAACAAGGTAATATGCAGCCTGGAGGTTTGGTTCGTAATAGGTAACGCCATCGTCGTAGGAAGTGTAATGGTACACCAGGTGGTGTTGTATCATGGCGGAAAGTCCATGACGAAGTTGACGATCGGAGAGGCGCGAGTAGAACTTTAGTCGCGGTAATGAGAGCCGGTCATAGCGCTGGAGGGTTGAGAAGATACGCTGGCGAAGACGGATGACGGTCAGCCTGTTGCTCGATGTGGCCCGCAAATTGACACCGACTATATGGTTTTTCATGGATGCAGCGGGTTACCAAGTGAGCAAAAGCGAGCATACCGCAAAAAGCTCCCCAAAATTATCCTCGACCAAGAGCGCACATAGCTCTGCCGCGTACTGTTACTCGGACCATTAGCAGTGGTAAAGATGAGGGGCGGGAAGAGAGGGGAAGGGGAATTGATCGCATACTTGGGAAGTCATGATGGATGGCTTCTAGAGAATGCGAAAAGCTTCAATTCTCTAGAAGGGAGGGGAAGGTCACCGAGGGAATCGCATGAGGTAAAGTGCAAGAAAGGAACGACAGGCGCGAAATGAGGAAGCCGGAGCAACGATGATCAAGATTGGGGATACTTTTTTTCGGCAATCGGAGAAGGAGAGAAAGCGTGATCTGCGAAATGTCATTGTGATTGTTGGCCTGAGGCATTAATATATTACTACTTTGCACGGGACACCTGCTCACATAAGGAATCAGGTGACCCGGAGGACGAGGAAAAGCCGGTTCCGCCCGCACTCGCATTTCGGGCCAATCACGGGGCGAGTAATCAAGACCAGCCGGCATCTTGAAGCTTTTCAGACATCGTTTCTGATCCGCCCAACGACCGCCAGCAGCCTTCCCCTGCTCCCACTCCTCTCAACCCTCCCAATTGCTGTCGAGCTTCTCGGCTAACCACTCTCCTCGCCCTCCTCTATCCCTCTCACACATGCGATGATGCTGTCGCGGTCTACTTTCAGCCGGAATGCGCCCCGTGCGCTCCAGAAGCAGTGCTCTGCTGCTGGCGCCAGCAGCCGTCGGGGCATGGCCTCTGCTGCCACTCCTGGTCTCCAGTACGACGTCTCTGAGTCTGCTGGTGTGAAGGTCGCCAACCGGGAAGTTGCTGGCCCTACCAGCACCCTTGCTCTGGTTGCAAAGGCTGGTCCCCGTTACCAGCCCGTCCCTGGCTTCTCCGATGCCCTCGAACAGTTCGCTTTCAAGGTTCGTCCTTCCTGGCTTCAATCCGACATCCACGCTCTCTACTACACTATTCTCTTAGGCAATTGCTAACCAATTCTTCTTATTAATGCACAGTCTACGCTGAAGCGCTCGGCACTGCGGATCAATCGGGAAGTCGAACTGCTGGGCGGTGAAGTTTCCTCTACACACTCTCGCGAGAACGTCGTCCTCAAGGCCAAGTTCCTCTCTGGCGATCTCCCCTACTTCGCTGAACTTCTCGCCGAGGTTGCTTCTCAGACCAAGTTTGCAGGTGAGTAAGGAGACAACGGGAATATGCCGCCACCCCTTCCCCCTCCTCCAAATGTCAGACGAACCGGTCTAATTCGGCTTCTCAGCCCACGAGTTGAGCGAGGTTGTCCTCAAGACCCTCAAGTACAGACAACAGGCTTTTGCCGCCAACCCCGAGGCTCTCGCTGTCGATGCCGCTCACGCCGTCGCCTTCCACCGTGGCCTGGGTGAGAGCATCACCCCCTCGACCACCGTTCCCCTCGAGAAGTACCTCTCCGCTGAGGCTCTGCATGAGTACGCTCAGCAGGCCTTTGCCAAGTCCAACATCGCTCTTGTTGGCAGCGGTGCCAGCTCCGCCGACGTCTCCAAGTGGGTTGGTGACTTCTTCAAGGCCGTTCCCAGCGGTGCCCAGCTCCAGAGCGCTGCCTCCAAGTACTACGGTGGTGAGCAGCGTGTCTCCACCAAGGCCGGCAACGCCCTTGTGATTGCCTTCCCTGGCTCCGGTGCCTTCGGAACCGCTGCCTACAAGCCCGAGGCCTCCGTCCTCGCTGCCCTTCTGGGTGGTGAGTCCTCCATCAAGTGGACCCCCGGTTTCTCCCTCCTCGCCCAGGCCACCCAGGGCTTCTCCCAGGTCCGTGCCTCGACCCAGAACCTGACCTACTCGGATGCTGGTCTCTTCACCATTGCTCTCTCCGGTAAGGCCGACCAGATCACTTCTGTTGGTAAGAACGCCGTCGACCTTCTCAAGAAGGTTGCCGCCGGTGAGGTTGCCGCCGAGGAGATCAAGAAGGCCGTTGCCCTCGCCAAGTTCCGCGCTCTCGAGTCCGCCCAGACCCTTGAGACTGGTCTCGAGGCTACCGGTTCCGCTCTCATCAACGGCAGCAAGCCTTACCAGATTGGTGAGGTTGCTCAGAGCATTGATGCCGTCACTGAGGCTCAGGTCCAGGATGTAAGTTTATCAATTCATCTCCTCTTGTTTTCTGCGGCAATAATCATTTTGGGGAGCAATGGCTAATGTTCTACACACAGGTTGCCAAGTCCTTCCTGTCTGGCAAGGCCTCCGTCGCCACTGTTGGAGACCTCTTCCAGCTCCCCTACGGCGAGGACCTTGGTCTGACTGTTTAAACATGTATACAATACATATTAGACTGGCTTTGGAAAAAACCGAACACCCCCTCTATTTTTTATCATGTGTCTAGATCGACCTTTCCGCAGATATTCTCTTTTGTGATGTGGCTGTAGTTGTGTGTCTGTAATACAATTGTACCTTAACCCATCTTTGTTCAATACCTCTCCCGCTGCGATGTAGGCTGCTTGCAGTAACTTACTGTGAATAGTTTTGAAAAAAAAACCCAATTTGCAAAATGTATCGATTTTGATTTATCTGGTATATAATTTCCCCTATTCCTCCATGCTGTTGCTATATATTCGATGCAATGGATGGATAAACTTAGATAATCTAACAGCCTTAGTAGGAGTCAGTACGTCCAGTACTACTCCATAGAGCCATCACCCCCAATATATATATATCATATAGTAGTACTACCTATTTTCATTTAGTAGTAGCTAACAACCAGTTCATCTCAATTCTACACTATGATACTCAGCGTTAAACCAAACCCCGACACACTCCGATACACAAAGCTTGCCCGAAGAACCCCCAACAAGTCTGTTACCAGTCAGATGATCAAAGCTCAGCTGGCCGATAGGCAGACTTACTAAATGAAGTCATTCCTGTGGCCATTATCAATAGGGTATATAATTGGCATCAGTGTGGAACTGTTCGACGACGACATCCTCCTTTCCCCTCTTAACTTAATGATGTAACATATAGTAATATATATATCATTATACTAGTGCTGCTCTACTATCACAATCAACCACAAAAATAGTACTCTCAATGCTACTCTGGACCAGCATATGCATAGTACTAAATGATAAATTACCAGTCCCACCTACTACCTGTCTGCTACTGCTATCTACTAGTAAGTACTGATATACCTACTATGTATCAAGTCCCGACTGCCCTACCACGAAAACATCACCAAGGTCACCCACCCGTCTTTGCCTCTTTCACTTTCACTCTAACAACCCGTTCACAACCATCAACCACTCAACAAAAGACAGCCAACCATAGATCAATTGCTTTGTAGAAGAAATAAAAAAAGGTACTATATATAGAACCACCGGCTCGTCCTAGAATTCACCGGCACTGTTTACTACTAGTATTTCTACATACACAATCCACACAGATACAGCCAATCAAAAAGCAAATCGACAAATGAATAGATAGATATGGACATACAACTGAACTACCAAGACACACGTGCTTACGACACCCATAGTAATCCCATCACCTGACCCAAATTAGAACAGGGATGCCCGCATACATATGCGGTAGTACTAGACAGAGCATGAACATGACTTAGTGAGACACGCCATCATAATCATATGCAAGCCATGACTGGGATGTTCGGAGAATAGTTACCGTAGAGGGTTCACCGAGGGGGAAAAAAAAAGAAAGGTATCATGATTCAGACAAAAGTACATACATATACTATACTAGTCTATATTATCATATGCGATATCGGAAATTTTTGGTTTTAGAAAGGAGGGGGTAAGGTCCGTTTTTGGATACAAGCATACTAGTCTATACTATACCATACTATACTAGAGTCTAAAAAGATGATCGGATGGTAAGTGGTAGTAAGGCTGTGTGGGTGTCAGCCAGCCGGCCCTGGAAATCGGGTTTTGGAAGAGATTAAACCCGCGCAACATGACAGATGACGGACGGAGAGACGGAATGATTGTCACTTTCATTTTAAGACGGTGTAAGATAGCCGTGTGGGAAGAAGGGGAGAGGCCCGGGCTTGCCCACATTCCCGAAGGGGCCGTTGGCTGACTGGAGACTACTGTCATTCCTCAGCCGAGAGTAGGCAGGACGGGCATTTACGCCGGAGGTGACTGTCACTACTCGGTAGGTAGATAGTAGCAAGCTTGTGAATCTACCTAGGTATGTGGTGGCTGGCCCTACTGTGTATCTATTCGACTCTGTTCTTCCTCGGTAACACGGGATATGTGGATTTGATAAACTGGGAAAATGCATAACAAACAAACAAACGAACGGCATCAGAACACAGGTGGACAATGGTGCATGTGTTTCTCCCAATGGAAAGTCAACGTATGGTCAACCGTGGCCTATTTAGTATATGGAATATATTAACATTATTATGCTAAGGTAGTTTTGGTTTCATAAGACTTTCTTGCGGCATGCTCGTCGGCACTATGCATAGCTAGCTACGGACCGAGCAAGTTCCACACCGTATGGGTAAGATTATCTAGCATCCGCTCCTCCGACCGAGACCGCGCATGGCAGAAGGGTATCTCAAACCTTCTCTAGTGCTTAGCGGTGACTTTGTCGCCCGTCAGTTTTTCGACTGCTTCCTTGGCCCTGTTCGGGGTAACGGAGACCCACACGTTAGCTCCAGTTCACTCCTCGGTTATCACATGAAGATCGGGGCGCCACCCCCGTAGGAAGTGCTCCGCCCGGGGTATTGATAATGCAAGAGAGGGGAAAGTTTGTTCCACTTACATGTCACCAAGTGCCACCATGCAGACGGTCTGCCAGATTCCCAGACCCACACGGGGAGCCACACCCCGGTACAATCCCTTGATGCCGTTCTGGTCGTAGATGTACTTGGCGGCCTTGCCCACGGTGAGGTTCTTGGGGCGGTTGGGGTCATCGGTCTTGCTCTGCATCTCGACACGGATCACCTCAATGGGCTGGTTCCAGGCAGAGAGACCACCACCGAGACCGGAAGCCAGGATCTTCTCAAACGCGTTGAGCTTCTGACCCTCATCCTTGTTGGTGACCTTGCGAATAGCGGTTTCAGCCAGGCGAGAGAAACCGAAGCGGGATCCCCAGTTGGTGGTCTGGCGAATGGCAACGGCGTTGACACCACGGTTGATACCACGAATGCCCTCCTTGCGGTAGATATCCATAAAGGTCGCGAAGGTGCTGGGGGGCTTGACGCCCTGGGCGGCCATCTTGTGCTTGGTGATCTCAACGGTCTTCATGCAGGTACAGAAACCCATGGTCGCGTATGCCTGTGCGATACCACCGACCATACCTCCAGCGATACCGGCGGCGAAGTCGGGCGCACCAAGCACCTTGGCACGGAACTCCGCCTCCGATGCGACGAAGAGGAGGACGGCGCCCTTAGTGGAGGCCTCAATCCAGGCCCACGGAATGAGACCTTGATAATCTAGAGTGAATGACAAGTGTCAGACAATACCACCCCACACTAGTCGGAGAAGCGAAAGCGGAGGAAAGAGCACTTACAACCGAGGATCCCGCCACGGCCCCAAATTCGACCCATAGCACCAGCGAAGCTATCGCCCCGGTTTGCAGCCATGGTCGTCTTGATCACTTCCAGCGGCTATTGAAACGGAGTTAGCATAAGCCGACAATTACCGCTTCGGTTATTGCTTCGTACCTGACCCAAAGTGGTGACCCTATTCTATGTTAGTTATGAAACACACGGTGCGCTGGAGGAAGCGGGTGAGAAGGGAAAACATACTCAAAGAGGTTCAATCCAGCACCCACTGTAGCAATGCCATCAGAACCAATTTCCTTCAAAACGCTAATCGTCCGGGATTGTAGCAGATATTACATACGTAGCAGATTGCTGAACTTCACGGGCTTCTTTTCGAGCTGTTTCTGGCCAGTGGCGGCCGTCGCGGCAGTAGCGGTAGACATATCTAACCTTGGGAGCGCTGAAAGGGGCCCTGACCAAGGGAAATCTGGGGGCTTCGTCGCCTTAAGGGATCACGAAGAATCGGAAGGTAGTCTGCGGGTCGGAAACGTCAAGGACGAACGACCAGAAGCGAAGTCGGTTTTGGGTTGTTTGTGGATGGAAGAAGGTGAGTTCGGAGGCAGGTGACACTGATGAGGAGGACAGGCCAAGTAAGCAGGTAGCTCCGGGGAAGGTATCGAGTATATGTACGGTAGAAGCAGTAGTATGTATGTATGAATGAAGATGAGGGAAGAAGATGAAGGAGAAAAAAGAGGAAAAAGGGAAATTATAAGAAGGATCAACGAGGGGGTGGGACGCCCTTCCAGGTAGAGCATACGTACCTATCGATTCAGATGGTGGTTTTTTTTCTCCCAATTGCAGGTCAAAGAGTTGCTTTTTTTGTCTGGCGTGGGCGCATCCAAGCACTCCGTACCAAGGAGTACTCCGTAGTAATGAGCACACTCACCACCGCAACAACCAGGAACCCAATGAGATCCAATCACCGCCCGCCATCGGCCGATTGGGGATGGCGCTAAACCTGATCAAGGCACAGCGGCCACTAGCCTGCTTCGGGCCCGGCGGTGAGCCACAGCCGAGGGCTTCAGTTGAGGCCCGGAGCAAACCGGGCTCCCCCCCAACAAACATCCTGGAGCTGCATTCATTTTCCGAAACGGTTGAGAGGGTCGATCGGGGGGACCCACGTCCAGCTGGCCCTGGAATGATAGTAGTCCCAAACTATCTATCTATGGAGTATCTATCTACCTCCTACAAAAATAATAATCACATCTAGATTCTACTACTAACCTACTTGGCACCAAAAAGGGAGAGAGGTAGTCCGGAGTACGGAGTAGTCCCTCCCTTCCGCCCCCCCATAGCAACCACGATCATGGGAGGATCATAAGGAGGATCCGCCAGGATCTCTGAACACGCCCGGACTACGGCGCCCGTAGTAGCAGTTACTATGTATATGCTTGTCTCATACGGAATACTCATCATTCCTTCAAATATTCCCGGAGTAGACCATTCATTCATTTTTATTCATTTGACTGTCTCGTCCTTTCAATCTGACTTCCAGTCTGGCTTATCTCACTGTCCGTAGCTCGTATTGTTCCGCTTGGAACGATGGGAGTGCTCCGGAGGTCACCAATGGCGCCCCGAAACATTTGCAGTTAGCGTTGGCTGAAATAAAGTATCTAAATAAGTCAATGTAAATGTCCAATTCATTCTCCGAAACCTGATCGAAACCCGATGCATCTTCAATTTACCCTGCTGCCTGACTGGCTATGTTGTTCGACGATCAGTCCGCGGAGCTTTTTCACCTTCGGCCTATGATTTGACCGATATGCAGACCTGCAGCCAGCTCGACACTGGTGGCACTAATCACGTATGTTTCTCGACCGCGCCGATCCCACTCCTCTTGGCCTCTCCCTGCCTAATTCTTATCTTCGGCATCCGACTTGCAATGTCAGCTTGCCCCTCTCCGTGCCCCCCTTACGCTTGCTGGTCTGTCACTCCGCGATACACAGTCCCGGGGTCTAATACGAAATAAGAATCAGAAGACGATTGACTTGGAATTTCTCAAGTGCTGTTTGTTACAAGGCCCGCTCGAACCGTGTCCTATCATACATTAATCGAACAAACCCCAACACTTTTAAAAATCGTCCCCAGTCACAAAAATACTAAACCAGAACAGGGTAGGCATAATACAAGATGCTGTGTTTATCGTAAAAAGAAATAAGAATCACCTCCGGATTTTCATGTCATCCCAAACTCATTTACAGCTTAGCACCAACAAGCTTGGCGAAAGCCTCAGTGCTGTAGGACTTGGGGCGCTCAATGGGGGCACCAAGGGCACGGTCGATGATCAGCTGGGGAAGGACACCCAGAGCACGGGAAACACCGAAGAGGACGGTGTAGTAGTTGGCCTCAGTCAGGCCGTAGTACTGGAGGAGGACACCAGAGTGCTACATATCGGTCAGTACACTGGTCGCGCATGCAACTGAAGCGCAGGTTCACGAGGCAACTTACAGCATCGACGTTGGGGTAGGGGTTCTTGGTCTTGCCGTGCTCGGTCAGGACACCAGGAGCGATCTTGTAGACCTGGCTGACCAGCTTGAACATGGGGTCATCGGGCAGCTTGCGAAGAGCGAACTCGCGCTGAGACACGTAGCGGGGGTCGGTCTTACGAAGGACGGCGTGACCGTATCCGGGAACGACCTGGCCGGCGTTCAGGGTGGACCAGAGGTAGTTCTTGATGGCCTCGTCGCTGAGGTCGTTGCCAATGGCGGCCTTCATCTTGGTGAGCCAGTTAAGGACTTCCTGGTTGGCCCTGTGCGATTGGAAAAAGAAAACATTAGCGAGAGCGCTTCGATTTGACGGAAACCGAAAGAATTTGAAACTTACAATCCGTGGAGAGGACCAGCCAGACCGTTCAGACCAGCGGCGAGAGAGAGCATGGGGGAGCTCAGAGCGCTACCGACAAGGTGGGTGGTGTGAGCACTGACGTTGCCACCCTCGTGGTCGGAGTGGATGGTCAGGTAAAGACGCATGAGCTCAACGAAGTCGTTGTTGTCGCCGTAGCCGAGCTGGTTGGCCAAGTTGTAGGAGTAATCCTTGTCCTTCTGGATAGGAGCGACCTTGCCATCCTTGAAGACGTTGCGGTAGATCTTGGCAGCGATGGTGGGCAGCTTGGCAATGAGGTCCATGGAGTCCTCGAAGGTGTAGTTCCAGTAGTCCTTCTTGTTGATACCCTTGGCATAGGCCTTGGCGAAGGCAGACTCGTGCTCAAGAGCGGTGACGGCCAGAGAGAACTGGGACATGGGGTGCAGAGTGCTGGGGCAGCGGTCGATGAGCTCCTCAATGAACTTGGGGAGGTCGGAGCGGGCAGCCCACTCAGCAGACAGGTCGCGGACCTGCTGCTCAGTAGGGATCTCGCCAGTCAGGAGGAGCCAGAAGAGACCCTCAGGAAGAGGCTCCTGACCACCGGGAGCCTTGGGGAGGAGCTCCTGGCACTCGGGGATCTAGAGTACTGTCAGTATAAATTTCGAATAGTTCTTCGGTTGTTCGCAACTTACGGTACGGCCACGGAAACGGATACCCTCCTCAGAGTCGAGGACGGAACCCTATCGAAGTCAGTTAGACAGTCTCCTCAAAATTTATTGACCAAGTTCCTCATCATACCTCCCACACGAGGCACTTGACACCACGGGCACCACCATAGGCCTGGTCAAGAGTGACCTCGCCGATGACCTTGCTGCCGTGCTCCCTAGAAACATTGATTGACTGGTTAACAAGGCCTGCTGTAGAGAAGAGGGTCGGACGTGGAGGTGTGCGTACTTGCGGAGCTTCTTGACCTTCTCGAGCTCGGCAGGGAGCTTCTCAGCGAAAGTCTCCTTCAAGGACTATGAAACAGAGAAGCATCAGTATGAATATTCGAGGAATGATTGTTATCGAGGTAGAACGAACCTTGGCCTTGCCGGTAGAGTAGCAGCGCAGGCCATTGAAGGCAGCAGACTGAACAACCGGCTTAGCGGCAATGGAGGAGGAACGGAGAGCAGAGGTGCCCAGTCTCAAGGTGGAAGCCATGGCGAATGTGAACAACTTGCAGTAAGTTGAGTGGTTGGAAGGAAAGAAGGAGAGGAGAGAAAGAGGGTATATCAGGACACGGTAGAAGAAAAGAAAAAGGAAGATGGGCCGCACGGTGTTCCCAAGTTATGGAGAAGCTCTTTTGCGCGGCCCTTTTTTTCCATCTGGCCGTACTAATACAGCCGGTACGCGGACTGTACGGTAACGCACGGCAACGCCGTGCGGTAATGGTGGGCGGCTGTATGTTACGGTCACACTAGTCTCAACCCGGCCGATATCCCGAGTCTGAGCCAGGATTTCGGCGCGCTTTCCAGCGGCAATCAGAAGGATCCATCATGTTTTGGTGGTGACCCTTACCCGCTTGATTCCGTTGTACGGAACGGAGTCCGGAGTAAAATCCTCTCTTTCCTTGCGTTTTGTTTCTTGGTCTGTGTGTACTTTTACGCTATGTATTTACTATTACAACCTTTAGAGTTCTACCCATGTCATTCTTTCATACTTGCTCGAGCTTATGCGTGTCCGTTCAAAAGCAAAGCCCAGAGCTGTCAATTGTGATCAAACGGTCAACCATGCATGTGTTGGAATATAGATATAGGCACTGTAATGCCGCCTCGGGCTACTATTGTTGTGACGATCATCGGCGCCGTCTCATCCGTAAACGGAGTGCCACAGTAGAGCTGTTGGTCCATGGCTAGTGACGTCGGCAGTCGCCATCTCATCCACAATTTTGCCCACCCATTGAGTTTCCATGGGCACGGATTTCCCCAGCCATAACAACAATACAAGTATGTAGTGGTATTACCTTACACACCTTGCTCGACATATAAAAGTTCAGACCTTCATTACTCATGATTGAAGATTTGCATGGTCACAAGGGGGTCTAAACTGTGAAGGATACTCGTGATTGCGGTTGGAAAGTGAAGTAAGCAGAAGTAAGCAGTAAGGGAAAGTATCCAAAATTCCTGAGGCCTAGCCTGTAAGAACTAAGAACAGAGTTCTCATGGTTAACTACTTGATAAGTGTCTCCGTTGTGAATGTTTCCAGGGGTTAATGGAGTACTCTGTAAGGTTTCTCAAACGGTGGGACGGTCTTCATTTGTTGTGTAGAAAATCGGTTACCTAACATGATGGGGAAGCCTAGCGCATTACCTCATTCGACTCACCGAACTGCGACTCATGCGCTTGATTCATGCTTTGGCGGGACTTATGTAAGGATTGCATATCTCGTTCAAAAAAATGAATATCACGTGTTACTATGCAGATATGGCAGCCTGAGGCAAAAGGAAAGAAACATGGCTGGGCATACCCGGCTCACTCACTTGTTTTTAGGTGTTGCTGCCCGTTCGAGCCTAGCGCAGATATATGCTGATTTTTCTCCTCACCTGACTGACCACCTTTACTACCTTCAACGAAATCCCTTCCCTTTCAACTCCCTTTCTTATCCTTTCTTCATCTCTTCTGCACCG